CTTCCGATCTAGAAAGTAACAATTCTCAGGAAACCACAGTTTTTAAACAAGGTTTCCAGGGTGTGTGTGTGTGTGTGTGTGTGCATATGTGATACAGGGTTTCCAGTGTGTGTGTGTGTGTGTGTGTGTGTGTGTGAGACACAAGGTTTCCCGGCAACTGCGAGATTGAAAGCCAGGAAACAGTCCACTCGACATGTCTCAGAAATGGTCAGAGCTGAGCCCAATCCAAAGAGCGTCAAGGGTGCCGGGATTCCACCGACCCGCCCAGGTGAGGCTGCAGGAAGGCAGCAGCCTGGCATGCATGCTCAGCGAGCACACTGCGGGTAGGTGCCGACCAGCCAGGCCACCTCCTGCACACGTGGGGGAATGAATTCAGCGCATTACCATGTACAGTGCAGGGTCTAAATCTCCCATCATTCCTTTCAGGTGTGTGTTTTCTGTTCCAACAGCTTTGGACCTCGTACCTGAGACCTGAAAGATCAGAAAAGGCAAAGCTAAATTTCACAGTGAAACCTCATGGTCTTATAATCGGTTTTATCCTGTCAGTGCAAATACTTTTTGGCTGAGAATGGAAACCCCTCTCCTTCAGCTGGGTTCCCCGTTCATGTCCTGCTGGACCCTCCTGTTATGAGCAACAATGAATTTATAATACAATAATGATTTACTTTTTCCTTTCCAAGTCCAGCACCCTGCTTTCCAGCTCACAGTATCATCCATTGAACCACAATTTTGCAAATCTGCTGAAAATGACTGCCCGTTAAACCAACGCCTGATTAATCTCCTCGATGTGCGATGTATGACCTCCGTGTTTACTGCTGTTCGTGCCGTGTGCTGGCGACTTTATTTTGTCTTTCGTTCTTCTTTAGTTCCCCATTTCCTTTGAGCTGGCAGCACTTTAAAATAGTATCTGTCCATCTATCGACTGTTATTTTTTGAGGTAGGACCCCCTACATTTCCCAGGCAGACTTTTAGTTCTTAATCCTGCCTCACCCTCCCGCAGGCTGGGAGTCTAGGTGTGCCTCCACACCTAGCCTGTTCTTTTGTATATCTGAGGCCTATTTCTATATAAAGCTCTTGCTTTTAAAAATGTTTGCTTTTGTAAATTATAAAATATATTCTCACTAACAAAGTCTAGAAAATACAACAATATGAAAGTGAACACAAGAATCATTTACATTCACTGTTACCGTCTGCATAATGCCCTTCCCCGTGTGGGCACAAGTACAGGCATTTCCGTCGGGGCCAGTTTCTCCCTGTGTGGCAGACACGGGTCAGTCTAAGGCCTGTAACTGGGTAAGATCGGATCTTTCCTGTTTTTGTAATATGCATGATTTAAAAGCCAAGGAAGTTACTGAAATTGTCTTAGTGTGTTCTGAAACTAAGATTTAGGGTGAAAGGGCTCATAAACCTGTGCTCTCAAAAGCAGGCTGCTAATTTGATTATGAGGAAGTTTAAAAGATAAATAGGAAGTGGGGCAGCGTTCTGACAGTGCAACATTACAAGTGCTGCTTTTACTCTGCTGGGTGCTGGGTGAATACTGAATAAATATGAACTAATTTTTGTGTTATAGCATCCATGTTTTAAAACCCTAAAGGAAATGCAGGAAATGGGGCGTGGGGGTGAGAGCTGTCAGGAAAGCTGAAGTTCCTTTTTCTATTTTTAATATTAGTGGAAAACGACCAAGAAGGCGACGTGACTCCACGACGTGAACTACGGCAGCAGAGTGCGGGGCTGAGCCCAAAGGCCGTCGTGAGCTGACCCTTAGGTCCGTACCTTTTTTTTTTATAACTGATACTTTGTGGTATCTCCCAAAGGCATCATGGGATGCCATGAGGCACGGATGAGTGCTGGACTGAGTACTCCAAGAAGGTGCTTGCTGCTCACGTACCTGTTGCTTTGCTAACATTTTTTCCTTTATTTCTAATTCTGTCTTTAGCTGTCTTTCCAGAAGGGCAGCTTTCTTCATGACAGTTGCTATGGTGACCTCCTTCTGATGCAGCTCCTGGGTGAGGCCGGAGATCTCATCCCTCATCCTTTCATGTACAGAGCTGTGGTAGTCTTTCTCCTGGTACAGGTCACCTCGCATCTACAGTGGAGAGAGACAAGATGAGGCAGCTCAGGGCAGCTGCAGCTTGGACTGGCCTGCTTGGGCCTCCTGTCCTGAAAGCTTCAGCAGGCCAGCGGCACCCCTTTCTGATCAGGGCTTTAATTTAGCAAGTATTTAAGTGACTAACAACAGCTTCGAATTTTCATCTCATTTCTGCCGCGTACGAGACGTCACTCACTACAGACACTTCTTTGCCTGACGGTGGAGAAAGTGTTACAGAGGGGCATGGCATAGAGAAACAACTGTGTTCCGAGAAGGCCAGAGAGAGCAAGACAGACTGTCCACAGTGGGACAGATGAACGTACCAAGGCCCTGAAAGATGAGATGCGACATTTTTTCATGTTCTTTTTGGAAGTTATTCAGTGAGCCTCTTTCAAAGCATAGGGCTCTGCCTGTCTGTTCTCTGTCTCTCCCTCCCCTAAACCACCAGAATATCATCCTAATGTTTTAAATGTCAGCTCCTATGTCACCAGATTCAAGCAGAATTCAAATTTAAAATTGTGACCGATGTTCTTCAGGTTTGTCACACTGAGTTAGGATCTAAATTTGTCTGCCTTTGGGATTGGGTCTCTTCTTTCTAAGCCCCTCTTCATATATGTCTGTGGCATCCACCCAATCCCCACACCCCTTTGTAAATTTAAACCTCAACATGTGACTTTCCAGTTGCAGTCCTGGTGGACGGCAGTCGCTTTCTGGGACCTGAGCCCTCACTCACTCTGGCTCATACACTGGAACAGGTGGGTTTCAGGGATGACTCTATTACAGCAAGATGACCTGACACAGGCAGAGAGAGCCCATGTCCAGCTCTGATCCATGACCTATGTGCCAACCACTCCTTTTCTGATCCTATATTCCTAACTTTAGAACTTCAAAGTTGGACATGACCTTAGAAATCACACGGCCTTCACTTTACCATTTAACAAACAGGAAAAGAACCCAGGGGGCCTTGTACCAATCTCCTGAAAACAAAGGGGTCTCAGAAATGGGAATGCAAGTGTGTGTGTGTGTGTGTGTGTGTGTGTGTGTGTACACATGTGCATGTGTGCCAGGGAACGACTGCAGATGTTAGTTCTTGCTCTCTATCATGTGAGTCCTGGGGATGGAACTCGCGTCATCAGGCTTAGCAAGTTCCTCCCTTCATCGCACCCATCTACTACAGTTTCTTTAATTGCTTCTTTCTACATTTTCTCCTGTAGTTTGTTTGATGAAATAGCCACACTATTCTGTGGTTTGAGCCAATCTGGATCATGGTGATTGTATCTCTATGGTACAGTTTAATTCGCTCCCCTTAAAAATTAAACTTAGAAAATTAAGAAAATGAATATACTATTCTGAAAAAGGATTAAACTATTTTTCTAATTTTATAATAGCTAGATATTAAAACAGCATGCTATTCTACAAGGCGTTTCTAAGTGGGGTTCATCTACCTAAGCTTCCCATGCCTTGGCTTTATTAAAAATGTGAATTTTATCACAAAATAAATGACTAAAAATAGCTCTGAGACAGAAAAAAAACCCATTAAGATTCATAATGCATGGCTCCTGTTGGCTTCATTTCAATGGAGTGAACTGTTCTCCAGACACTTGCTGAAAGCTGCAGATACTACCCTCAGCCCTTTGGTGCTCCTGGCCCTGCACGTTCTCCTCCAGGAGCCCAGGAGGAGATCTGCACCTTGGACTGTATCGTTCCTCATTGGACTATGAATCAGGGGGCTCTTTTATCTCTTGGGGTTTTTTTATGACTCCAGCAAACCCCATGAGGTTAAGAAGGTTGTAACTATACATGGCTTGTTTTTTAAACCGGGATGCAGTAGCTGGGACTATCAATCATGAACAGTTATAGAATTTTATAATTTTAAAATCAACAGAGTTAGTTTTATGGGATAATGTGATAGTAAAGTATTCAAATGGGAGAGAAACAGCTGATTTATAACACATTTTCTATGCTTAATCTGAATTAGTTCTAAGACAGTCAGGATCCATCTTTGAGGTGGCTAGTGGTTAGAGATGGGGTCTTGATAATGTAGCCCAGGCTGACCTCAAACTTGTGGCAATCCTCCTGCATCAGCCTCCCAAGTGCTGGGATTACACTATGGCTTGCTGGGATTTGCTTTCACATTATTGTACTTCCTCTTGAAATCAGCAGAATAGTTACAGCCGTCCAAGATAGATGTTCAATAAATGTTTGTCTATACAAACAGCAGCTGGCCTTTGCTGCTCTAAGTCCTGCGGAAGGACTTAGCTTTAATATCTGTTCATTCGTGTGTCAAGTACCATGTAGAGCAGCAAAGAAAATTCCAGACATGTACATTTTGAGCTTTTAGATTTTACAACATTGGATATTCTGCCTGATCCTTAAACATAAAGACCAGATAGGTCGATAGCAAGGATCACAGTCTCCTGGTATCTTTATAGAAGAAGATGTATTGATGTAGAATGAGGGACCGGGGGCTCTTCAAGAACAACACCTGGACCTTCCTTGTCTCCTCCCACTGCAGTGGGGAGAGGGGACTGCAGTGTGGAGAGGACTGCAGTGGGGAGAAGAGACTGCAGTGGGGAGACTGCAGTGTGGAGAGGACTGCAGTGTGGAGAGGGGACTGCAGTGGGGAGACTGCAGTGTGGAGAGGAGACTGCAGTGATGAGGGGACTGCAGTGAGGAGAGGGGACTGCAGTGTGGAGAGGACTGCAGTGGGGAGAAGAGACTGCAGTGGGGAGACTGCAGTGTGGAGAGGACTGCAGTGTGGAGAGGGGAC